TTATGAGTGTCTTGCCTGCATGTATGTCTCTGCACCATATATGTATAGTGCCCTCAGAGGCCAGAAGAAGGCACTGAACCCCTTTAGACTGGAATTACAGACAGTTGTGAGGTATCACATGAGTGCTAGACACAAAACCTGGGCCCTCTAGAAGAACAGCCAGTGCTTTTATTTAACATAATATTTTTATTGATTATTTGGGGATTTCACATCATGCACCCTGATGACACTCACTTTGGGAGTGTCATCACTCTCTGCCCCCCAACCCTGCGACCTCCCCCTCCAAAAAGGAAGAAAAACAAAAACAAAACAAAGAGCACAAGTCCAATCTGTGTTGCACACTCACTGGAGCATGGCCAAACTCGCAGTATCCAGCCCCTAACAGACAACTGAGCCCCCCACCCTCCCCACCCCAACACCAGAAGTCATCAGTTGTGAAGAGCTACATTTCAGCATCCTTATCACAATATTTAAGAGTTCTCTACAATGGCTTTCTGTCTAGGCTGTTACTTTTGGGGGGATGGGGTGTGGGTAGGGATTGTCACAGAAGCCTTCTATGTCCCCTTTCCTCAACTCTGAGTCTGCAGTCTTTGATGTCACTACAAAAGTGGCTTCCTTGTCTTTTACAGTCAGCAGGAGCATGGAGTATGGACTCCCACACGATCTCTGGTGACAGCAAGGACCATGGACATCCACACAGTCTCTGGTGTCAGCACATGCCATAGACCTAAACATGGTCTCCTGTGGCAATACAGACCACAGACATCAACACAGCCTTTACCACAGCACAGGCCATGGATACCATCATAGCCCTTGGTGGCAGACAGACCACTCATCAACATGGCCCCTGGTGGCAGCACAACTCATGGACATCAACATGGCTTCAGGTGGCAGCACAGACCATGGACACCGACATGGCCTTTGGTGGTAACACAGGTCACAGACATCAATACAGCCCCCAGGTGAGGTAGGAACACGGACCCCAACATGGTCCTCACCTGCAACATGGACCACAGACACCATCACAGTCCTCAGCAGCATCACAGAACATGGATATCAACATGGCTTCTGACAGCAGCACAGACTATGGACATCCTAGTGAGCAGTCAGTGCTCTTAACCACTGAGCCACCCCTCCAGCTCCTGTGGGGTTTTTTTTTGGGGGGAGGGTATTGTAACATAGAATTTATTATCATTGTGTGGGGACATACATACAAGGTGCCACATGTGAGGTCAGAAGACAACTATACAGAGTTGATTCTTTTTACTTTTGTGTGAGTTCCCAGGAATCAAAAAAAGGATTGCATCTTTGTTCAGCAATAGCAGTTACATGCTGAGCTGTCTTGCTAGCCTTGTGGCTATGTTCTTAAGAGACTGTAAATCCCATCAGTGTCTAGCAAGAGCTCATGAGACGAATGGATTTACCTTAGTCCGCAGGTTTAGAAAACCCCAAGGAATAGGCAGACACTCCTCCTGAGGCTGGGAGTGCCAGCCCTAGCCAGGAGATGCCCTGGTGACTGAATGACCCAGGGTCTATGTCCCACAAACATCCTTCTGTCATCGCTCTATGGAAGTGACTGTCTGAAGGACCTCCAAACTAGGATCAGTCTGGGAACTGATAGGTATCTGGAGTACTCCACTTTGGCAGGACCCTCCCACTGCAGCCCACAGCTTGGTTTTCAGGGAAGGGTGCTGGGACTCTCTTCCATTCACTGGGAAGAGACTGGGCCCTTGCAGATTCAAGGGTCTGGCACATAGGTGTGGCATGTGGGCATGCACACACTCTGGTCTGACATTTAGAATAACTCCTCCCTACCAGCCATATCAAATAGTCGAACTAAAATAACTCTACACTGGCCAATGAAATTCCCCCAACTTGCCTGCCCCTCTCAGTCTCTGCATCTCCCTCCAACCCATATACAAGATCTAACCCTAGACTAACACTGCCCTTCCCACTTGTCAGTGTCTACCCTATCATCACTCTAGTGCACTGCCATTGGCTTCCCCAAGGGGGTGGAAGGCACAGTCCTGCCTGACCCAGGCACTACTGGGCACTACCGAGGGAGCCTTTCTTCCTCATGCTCAACTTGCCCATGTGCCAGTCTTCTGTCCAGCATATCCCTAGCCTGGACCATGGTAGGGAGGACAGCAGCCTGGAGATGGCATTGTTGTCCCTGGAAGGCCTTGTAGGAGCTCAGAGAGCTCAGCAGCACAGGAAGTGGGTCTGGAGAGCCAAGCCTTAGGTCCTGGGATAGGGCACCTCAGGGTTTAGGGGGCCAAGGCCAGGTCCCTCCTAACAGAGTTTAATAGGCCTGGAAGAATTGGAAGGATGACATGGCATGGGGTAGGTTTGCAATGAGAGGTCACAGTGACCAGATTTCCCACAGGAGAGACTCATAGCTTGACAGCATGACACAGTCTGGCTCAGGCTCAGTGGAACCCCAGATTTCCTCCCAGTAGGCAGAGCTGTGGGGCTGAGGTGGGTAGGGCAAACCTGATGTCTTTCTGGGGCCTGCTCAAGTCACTGATCCCCAAACTCTTCCTGGTTTCAGGCTCCTCTATGGAGTCATTCCCCCAGAGTTTAGATAGCAGAACAGATGGTCTTGGGGCATCCGATCACCAGGGCACGTCCTGGACTTCCACATCCTTCCCTGGACAGGGGCAAAGGCCCCAGTAGCCTTTGAAACCAGAAGTGTGGGTTCCAGTTCTGGTTTTGGTGCCCTCCAGGCACAAGGCTTTAGGCAGAGTGGGCAGGTCAGAGTTGTCAGCCTGAGCTATACCCCACCCTGTGACCATGGCATGTTCTTGAGCCTACCATAATCTACACTCACTCGCAGTTCCTTGACTGCCACTACTCCTGTGGGGGTCAGGGAGTCTTAGCTCCCTAGACAGTCTCAGCACATATACTCAGCTCCCCCTTTACTCAGGCTGGGAGAGAAGTTGGAGCAAGAAACCCACCATATGTACTGTCTCCAACCACAGGGACTGAGAGACCCCTGGCAAAAACCCTGCCTGGAACTCTCTCCTTCCCACAGGTAGAACCACAGGGTAGGAACTCTCTGTCTATCTGGAAGCCACCAGACTCTCCCCCCCCCCCAGCTAGGGCAGTGCACAGAGATTCAGTATTTGTGAAATGGGGCTCCAGCACATGCTATTTCAACACTAACTGATGAGTAACATTGGGACCCCACTGCATCAACCACTGACCTTTCCAGGTCTCTGTTCACAAATAGCAGAGTGTCTGTGCCTGTTGTTAGTGGGGAGCACACATCTGGGCACACAACAGGCTCCTTTTGGGTTTTGTGGCCCAATGACAGCAAAGTTGTCAAGGGTTGAGGAAGGGAACAGAGTACCTTGGGTTCTAGAATCCAGGTAGTCACACCTTCCCTGGTGCTAAGAACAGGGACAGGCAGTGGTAGCTTTGGAGCTGACAAAGCTTCCCCTTTTTGCTCAGGAAGCTCAGAAGTAGAACCATCCAAGGTTTGCCATACCCTGAGAGATTAAGGATGGCAACTGCTTTCACTCCAAGTTCCAAGAGATTGACTGATAGTGCTGAGTTGAGGAATCTAAGGCCACAATGAATGATGTAGGCCATTAAGTATGTCCAGAGAGCACCTAGGCTGAGAAAATGGATCTGTGATTGATTGGTGATGTCTGCTGAGGATGTAGCTATGTAGAATGGTCTAGGCATGCTGTATGATTTGCTACCTATGGGCACTGGGCTGTTTATTGTTTATTTCACCCCAGCCCACACTTCCTAGATTAAAAAACAGATATATATTTTTCTTGTACTATTTTATGGTTTGTCTGTTTTTGATATATGGTCTCATTATGTAACCCTGGCTATCTTGGAATTTGCTATGTAGACCAGGTTGGATAATAATTCACAGAGATTCTCCTGCCTCTGCCTCCTGAGTGCTAGGATTAAAGGTGGGCCACTATGCCCAGCTTTATGTTTTATTATGTCACTTTGTGGGACAAGGAAGATCATCAATTGAAAAAGCTGAGTCAGCATTATTCAGAAACCCTAGGCCTGGAACATGGTAAGTGCTCACCCAGGTCCCAGCAAGAGCCCCATACTGCCCTGCTAAACTCTGTTTTCAAAAAAAAGAAAAAGTGAGTCATAGAGGTTGAAGTTCACAGTGACCTCAGGATTCCTGAGGCCCTAGCCTGGTATAGGGTGTCATGGTGGGCCTGACCCTGGCTTTATGCAGATGGACTCTGACCCCCCTTCCATCCCAGGACCAGGCTCTCCAGCAGAGTCCTTCTCGCTCCTCTCTCTTTTGCTCACCCATGGCTCAGTCTCCCCAGACCCTGTCAAGGCAACTCATGCCCTGGAGTCTGCATTGTCCTAAGTGTTCCCACTGGCTGAGAGAATCCCAGGGCAGGCCAGGTGCAGGCTCCTAAAATGGGGCAGCAGCGCCCCCTGGTGGGTTCTGCTGAAGCATCTCCTGCATAGCCTAGCAAGCCACTCACTAGGAGGCAAGGGTCCCTGCCCTGGAGCCTGCCCTTCCCTGTGCTTCAGGGCCTCACAGGTGAGTGGGAGAAGTGCCCACCTGGCCACCCCTGCCACCTTCCATCTGCTCCTCTCTCTCTCTCTCTCTCTCTCTCTCTCTCTCTCTCTCTCGTGTGTGTGTGTGTGTGTGTGTGTGTGTGTGTGTGTGTGTGTGTGTGTGTGTTTCCTCATCATGTCATTTGATTCTGAATTTGTCCAGGCTGAGAATGCTGGGGCTGTGAGGGACAGTCCATTTCAAAAACCTTGAGTCACACATCTTACTTGCTTTACTTATTATGAAAAAGTTTCCTTATGTGAGTGTTAATAGAAATCCGACACTCCAGAAAGTGGCCTGGCTTCCTGACTCTCTACAGCACATATACCCAGATCTCTGAGGAGGAAGGACCAGTGAAGATGAATTGAAACACAGGAACCCCACATCATGCCTTCAGGTTCATCCCCGTGTCCTCTCCACCCCATAATTTAGGACACGCCTCCTCAGTCTGTATTGTTACAAACCCTTCTTTAATAGTTGATTTCAGAGCCGAGTACATGGAGCCCCTCCCCCAACCTGCAAGGCACAGCCTCAACCACCCACCCTTAGTGCAGAGGACAGGGAGAGCTGCCAAAAAAAATCAGTCCAGCTCATCCTTCTCTGGTCCACAGACAATTCAGGGTCCTGTGCCAGACCTGAGGGACCCATGTCCCTAAGCAATTGGGTCCCTTACCAAGAAGCTCACTAGAGGCTGCCTGGGGCAGTCCCCCAACCCCTGCTGAGCTGCGCTGCTGGGGGTGAGGGGACTGTCAGGTGTGAAGGACTGTCTACTCTCTCTGTCTCCCACAGAAACATGAAAAACCCACAAAGACAGTGTCATTATCACAGGGGTGGGGTGGGGGGCAGGGTACTAACCTTCCCTGTGGCCTGTCCCTGGGTAGCCATGGTGTTACATCCACCCACCCTGGAATTTACTACAATATAATATGACTTCAGGGTGGGGACCCAGCCATCCTGTACAGTAACACTGGGAGCCATTTAAAGCTGTTAAGAGACCCCCCTAGACAGTAAGCCACAGGACAGCGGGGGCTTCATACTAACAGAGAGGAAGGGAGAAGGGTCCAGGCCCAGAAAGTCCCCGCTATGACCTGCTCAGGATGGGCCAGAGACCTTAGTGGTGGATGGAGCACAGGCCATGGGGGAAGGAGTCAGAGAGGTCCCATGGGATACTGAGGGTGGAGAGACACAGCACAGAGAGGACGTCAGCAGCTCAGTACTTGGGGACCTTGCTGTAGTCTTCAGAATGAATGTGCCGGCACAAACAGATGGACAGGAACAACCCCAGCAGCTGCAAAGGACAGGTCAAAGTCAGGATGGCTGGCCCAGGTCCCAGAACCCTACCACCCAGCTCAACACCGGGCTCTAGGCACAACCACCTGAGGCAGGCAGGCTGCTGAAGCAGGCCCAGAGAAGGACAGCCCTAGCTGATGTCACACAGCTAGATGGCCTGAGGCCAGGGCACCTCTAGAAGCCCATGGACCACTCAGCCCATCAGTGCAGAGACAATAGGGGAGAGGAGTATGTGAACCCCACAAAGCTCAGGGATCCAGTTGTGACGGTGCCTGCTGGTAGGATTTGCTGAAGGAGGCAGAGACAGGAGGATCATGAGTTCTAGGCTAGCCTGGGCTACACATTTTAAGCCAGGCATTGCTGGTAGTCACATTTAACCCCAGCTCTCAGAAGGCAGAGGTAAGAGGATCTCTGTGAGTTCAAGGCCAGCCTGGTCTATAGAGTGAGTACCAGGACAGGCTCCAAAGCTACAGAGAGAAACCCTGTCTCGAAACAAACAAACAAAAAGCTCAGGGGAAGGCTGGGGGAGGAACAGACCTCAATGACAGCAACACCAACACACACGCCCAGGAGGATGCCGAGGTTCTCCTGAAGCCACATCTGCACCTTCTTCATACACCCCTGTGGGAAGACTCCACATCAGCCACCACGCACTGCAGCAGGGAGACTGCCCGGAGCCCTGTCTCATGAGCAGAACCCCATATGCTTGCAGATGAGGGTGTGAGCAAATAGGGAGGGGACTAAGGAGAGAAGGATGCGTGAGTGACAGCCTGGGAAAGCCTTAGTGGCTGGAACACTTGCCCTCTCAGGGTGGGAGGGTCTGCTCCTGGCTACCAGCCCCACCCTGACATACCTCCTTGTACACAGGCCACTCTTCATGGAAGATTGCATCCGAGCTGCTGTTGGAGACCTTGCAGAACCCCTTCTTCACAATGTACTGGTTGTCCTCTTCCATTGTCTCCTCGCAGGAGCAGGGGTAAATGTTCTCTGTAGAGTTCCTGAGCTCCAAGTTATCTGTCCAGTTGTAGAAGCTGGCCCAGCCACAGCATTTCACCTGTGCAGAGTGGGGGACAGGCTGGGATCCACCACTAAGCCCATCGGGAGCCGCCTACCTCCAGGGGGAGACTCAGACTGGCCATTTCTGCGCCCCCCTGGGGTGATGTAGAGTGTGGGTTGAACTTAGGTGCTGCGCATCAGTAGGGACTTCAAGAGGCTTTTAAGATGTAACACAAACTACAAACACAGCAGAGAGCCCAAATGGGAAGCAGTTAGCACAGGCATACTGAGTGGAGGAGGTGAGCTCAAGGGCAAGACCAGTCGGCACAGGGTATGAGGTTGGCTGGTGGGGGTCTGGGGTCGGGTGCTGGGTTCAAATCCAAGTTCTATCACTTCAAGCTGATCTGAGGTTTTCACAAATGAAGAACAGAAACTAAGGTCCCTACAAGGTGAGGCAGACAATGTGCACAAATGGGTCCACAGAGCCCAATGACAGTCAAGCCTGAGATCTGGCCCTGAGCTTCCTGGATGCCAAAGTGAAAAAGAAGACAGGAGCAATTGTACCGTTTTAAGGGACAGAATGCTTCCATCCAGAGGGCAGAAAGCCTCTCTGGGATGGAAGCTCAAGGTGCTATCTGTGGGTCCCTTTAGGGATCAAATGGGAAGGACTAGTATACATTTTGACATCCTCTGGGCCATCTAGTACACACAAGCTCGGATCTTCAGCAGCCAGAAGGGGGCGCTCCAAGCATGCACAGGGGAGATGAACTCCAGGCTGCCTCCCTCCTCCCTCAACCCTACCCCTTGGGCAGGTGTCAGGAATTCTGACAGAAAGGCTAGAGCCTCCTGGGGTGGGTGCCACGGGATCTGTCCCACTGAGCAGACAAAGGCAGGCTTCGCTTATTCTGTGACACCAGAAGGGACCAGCTTTCCAGAGCCAACAAACAAGAGTCAGCCCTGTAAGCCCAGGAGCTGTCTCTGAGGCTGTACTTGGGGGCCAGGAGCACTTGTGCCCCATTCCCAGGGGCAACATAACCACACAACCTGACTGTGCAGATATCAGACTGCAGGTGTGCAGCCCTGTGTCACCACCAGCCGTCCTCACCTGCGCCTGCACATAGTCCCAAGCCTCCTGCAGTCTCTCCTCACGGCTGCTGCTGGCATTCGTCTTATAGTTCTGAATGATGTCCATCACCATGCTGCCCACCTCCTGCTTCAGCTGTAGAGGGATATGAGGGTCAGGGCTGGCCTTGAACCTGAGTCTCATGACTGTTCATGCTGACACACACCACCTCCTCCACCACAGCAATCCCAGGTCACACTCATGGCTCCAGGGCATTTCAACTACCTTCCTGGTAATTCCTAGTGCCCATTTGGTCAGTGCCGCCCTTATCTATAAGACTACGGTCTGTCCCTTAACCATTCATCTTTCCTATCCATGCTGAAAGCCTCCTGTCCTCCCACAACTTCCAGGAGATATGTCAATGTCCTCTCAGTGACTCACAGGGTCCCAACCATTTGCCCAGTTCTCCCCAGCACTGGTTTCCTGCTCTTTCATGCTGTGCTCCATTACACAAGGCCCTTGCTGTCTTTGTGCTGTTCCCTCTGCCCAGAATGCTGTTCCCTGTACAAGAACACAACTAGCTCCCCTATCAAACAACTTCTCCTCAGAAAGACCTTGGGGCTGCTCTACAGAATGCAATGCTTCCTTTGTCCCTCTGTCACCCTCCCCTGACCTACTTGTCCTGCAGGGTTAAGTGTTGGCACCACAAGCCCATCTATTTGGACTTAGGGTCTCTTTCTTCAGCTGGGGGAGGGTGTGGGCTGGCTCTGGGTGCTGCCTAGAGTCCCCAGCAGCTGGCATAAAGCTAGGTGTATGGATATAGATGATAGATACACTTTCCCCATGGTTGCTTTTCACAGAGGCTGGCCATAAGACCCATCTCCTAGGGAAAGGGAAAGTAGGAGGAGGCTGAACATGTCCTATTCTTGCTTTTGTGGGGCTGCAATTTCTCCAGAAACTCCTGAGACTTCAGACTTCAGGGACCCCAACCAGAAGTATCCTCCCCTCCAGCCAGCAGTGCCACATGAGGCTGAGGTCCTTACATCAGTTAGAGGGGTGGGGTGCAGAGCTGCCTGGCCCTTCATGGTTGCCCTCCCTTCCCTAGGACTTCACAGTCCATATCCTGTTTAGTGGTCCTCAGCTGAGTATCCATGTTACCTGGTGTGAGGAAGAGCAGGGATGTGAGCCAGAGGAAGGCTTCAGGGGACACAGGCCGTGTTCTCACAAACAGCCAGTTGTGCAGAGGGAGGCCTTTTGGGTCTCACCTTGCTCTGGGGCTAACTGCAAACGAGCTAGCAAGCCCCAGAGCAAGGTGAGATCCACGAGGGTGGGGACATGGCCTCAAGAACCACCTAGCAGTTCCTGCTGCCTTCTCTGACACAGTATGGACAAGCTGGCCACCACCACCTGCTTACCTGTGTGGGACCCAGCAGTCACTGTGTAGAGGAAGGCCACACACTTGCCCCTCTTCCTGATATCAGCATTCAGCGTCTTCTTCCCCCATCTACTTCCCTCCTCAACGCAGGGAACCAGTGCAGTGCTCTTGCATCCCTCCCTCCCAGTAAAGCTCCCAGCATGATCTTCAAAAAGCCTCATGGGCTGGGGATGTGGCTCGATTAGTATAGAACTTGCCTAGGTCAATCTCCAGCCTAAACTGGGCATGGTGGCACACACCTGTAATCCCAGCACTGCAGAACTCAGCAGATGGAAGAAGGAGGGTGAGAAGTTCAAGGTCATCCTTGGCTATGTAGCTACTTTGAGACCAGCCTAGACTACATGAGACCCTGACTCAAAAGACAAACAAACAAACAACGGGGAAAGAAAGAGAAAGCAAAGAAAAAGCATCATAGAGTTCTACAGTTTGCCAATCTTTCCAGTCCACAGCTAACGGTGGCTGACTGACAGAACATAGTTACTGAGATATCTCCTGACCCTCCCACCAGGCCTGCGGCCCAGGAGCCATCCCTGGTCCCTCACCACAGGCTAGAGAGGTGTGTGAACTTAGCCAGGTCACATGATCACTGAAGTTTGGATGTGGGCTTGTCCTCTCTCACTGAACCCAGATCTTCGGCCATCTACCAAGTTCCCTCTGCATTCAACCACATGCCATCAGAAGAATTTTGAGTGGTACCAGCGAAGCTCCTGTGGTTTGTGTACCCCACAGCTGGGCTGTCTGCCTGCAGGTCTTGGGTCTGACTGGCCTGACCATCTGGGCTTTACTTCTGGACCCTGGTAAGCAGACAATCCCCAGGCTTTGAAAGCCTGTCTCCCAACTACTTCCACATCCTCCCTTTGTAGTAGGTCCCCCTTTTGTGGCCGCAGAGCTCTGTATTTTCCCAGTATGGTTGTCATGGCAGCTGGACTTCCCTAAATCCTGCATAACTGTCACAGATACCAGAAGGTGATCGAGGCCCTAGGTGATTTCCACCAGGGTGGGTGATTTCCATGGAAATCACTCAGCATCCTGTAGTCCAGGATGTGGCTGACACAGTTGGGTTTGGAGACCCAGGCTGTCACCTGGTACTATACAGACATGTTATGTGGGCGGCTTGCAATTAGTGGAGTGGGTTGAGGGGCTCTCTAGGGGACAAGACATCTCAGGGACAGGATCAGCAGAGGAGGGAGCCAGCAGTAGGGAGGGGCTGAGTGCTGTCACAGCTTTGGAGATGAGATTATGGCTGATTAAGGGTCTCCTGTCCTCTTGGTCAGTCCCTGAGATGGTGTCAACCTCACCATCCACCCCAACTTGTTAAATTGTTCCTCCTAATGAGACCCCCCCCAGCCAGACCTCCTGGGTCACATAGGCAGCCTCCAGTAGACTCTGTAACCCAGATCTGTGCAGCTATGTGATCCCAGGGGCCACTACCTGAACACCCCGGCTCTGATTCCCCCATCCCCCCACTCACCAAGGCTGTGCTGTAATTTTTCCAGGTAGAGTGCTGCTTCAGAGTCCAAATGGCAGAGGACCTCCAAGTGCAACACAGCACTCAACTTAAGACTCCTCCCCAAGCCTGTCTGCCTGCCCTCTGCTCAAATGCTTCCTGTCATGGACAGTGCAGTTCCCCATAAAAGCATGCCACAGGCTGGGCGTCTCTCCATGCAAGCAGCTCACCACAGTTTATTAGTCTCTGACTGTCTCACTGGCATTGATCCCTTAAATCCTAGCTTTGACTACACAGGATCAATTAAGTCCTTTCCCAGGCCAAAGATCACTGGTGCCCCGTGCCCACCTTCTTGTGGCCACTCTTCAGGTTCTATGGGACACTGCATAGTCTCCTTTAATGTGTCAGAGCAGCCCAGCACTGCTCCCAGGGTCCCACTGAAGATGCCACCTGGTGCTTCTGGGGGACCATTAGGAATAAGGCCCTCCACTTGGGCCATGAGACAGGATATGTCACCTCTAATGACCACCTGAGTGCAATCCACAATCTGTCGGAGTGTGCCATGCCCCCCAGTCACCGTAAGCTGACAGAAAGCCTGGGTCCCTGTGCAGAGTCAGACTCCAGGGCTCGGGGCTCACTTGAGACTCCACCCACATCTCTGTGACCCTGGGTAACCAACAGCCAGCTGCCTTCTCCCTTCACATCTGGGAAGAAAAGGCCACCTGTCCTGTGACTGGAACACTCCCTCCTGCAAGAGTGTTCACAGAGAAGGTTTTGTCTCTGCAGACCTAGCCTACCACCTCTGACACCCAGGCTTGAGCATACCCGTGACTTTAAGCTTCCTAGAGCTGGGAGGGATCCAGCTTGCCTAACACACTCTCTGGAGCAATCTGGCCCCACCCTACCCCCACATGAACCTTTTCTCCTACAGTTCTAGCTCCAGGCCCTGCACTCTAACCCAAATCAGGTTCTTGACACCTCTGTAAATGTTAATGGGAAGCTATCCTGTGGCTGCCATTTTGCAGCCAAACCAGCCTAGCCCAGGGAAACAGGAAGACCTCATTGTTCCCTGACCCTCTTACTGTCTACTGCCTATACAGCTGAGAGGGTGTGTGTAACTTCACCAAAGCCACACAGCAACCAGCATCAGAGCTTGCCAAAAAGCAGGCCCCCTGAATGCCAGACCTAGACCCTGTTCCCAACACTGGCTGGGTGAATACACAGCAGCCAACAGCCAATAGATGGTAAAGGCCCCTAAATCTCTGTGACTTCATCCTGAGTCTTGCTCACTCAGCTTGGCCTATCCTGACATTACCACAGTGGTTGTAGCTGCTATCTATGAACCCTCACCAGGCCCAGTGGAGTCTCCAAGTCAGTGATGCCTTGATGTCCACTGGCCATCCAAAGGCCCTGGGCTGTGTACCCTCTACCTTACCACTGTCCACACTGCACTGGGAGGAGGCCTAGGGACATTCAGATCTTACAGAGGGGCTGGGAAGGCTGGGGTGTGGCTTGGTGGCTAAGCACTTTCCTGATAGGCACAAAGCCCTGGATCTCATCCCCAGACTGAATAACACTGGGAGTGTGAGAGGTTGGGAGAGGGACAGGAGGGGGAGGTGGTTGTACTCCTAGCACTTGGGAGTGGCAGGGAGAAGTATCACTAGTTCAAAATTATCCTTGGTGACAAAGTAAGTCCAAAGAAGCATGGAGTATATGAAACCCAGTCTCAGAGCAACCAGAAAGGGTTGGTGACGAGTCACAGGTCACAAGGGTCTGGGGCATTAGCACAATTGTAACCACTGACTTCCTCAGGGACACCAGCTATCAGGCACAGGGGGCCTGGTCTCCTGCTCATGGACCATACTGCCACTGTGTGGCTGCAGCTGCTGTCTCAGAGGACATTCCTGACAGAGACACACCCAAGGGAGAGTGGCCTGAGGCATCACTCCACAGAAGAGGAAGCTGAGGCAGAACGAGGCTGAGGGACTTCCCACCCGGGGTCTCAGAACCAGGTTCTGACAGGCCCTTGAGGACTGAGAGGCCGGCCCATCTCCTAGAAGGCCTCTTCCTCTGCCCTGAGAAACCCTACCCCACTTCCCCAGCTGTGCCTGTCTGCAGGAATAAACATCACTGAGAGATGTTTAGTCTCCTGCTGTGATTTACAATGTGCCTAGAGCGGAAATTATGCTCCTTCCAACTCAGGGGTGCAGGGACAGAACCTCACCCAGCCCATGGGATCCCCATTCTGTACAGGAAGGAGTGAGGTGGGAGCCTGGGGTGGCCAGATGGCACAGGAATCGCTGTGGGACACACAGCACTGCAAGGAGCCAAGGCCTGAGTCTTGAACCATCTCTGATCCAGGACTGGAGGCACCTGGATGCAGGCCCCTGGGCTTATACCACATACAGGGGTAGCAGGCAGAAGAAGCGCTGGGGAAGTCACTCTGAGGCTGTTGAAGTGTGTATGACTATGGCCAAAGTCACCTTGGCACTGGTGAAACTCTGTTTCTTGGATGGGGAATGTTTGTAAATCTAAAACAGGTTATGTTCAAACTTGGCCCCTGACATGGGGTTGATGCCCACCCAGAGGGTGCTGCTGCCATCACCATGAGACAGTGGCTCCACTGGGGTGAGGGTGGGTGCGGCCCAGACACCCTGCAGAGGCCGCCAGCTTCCTACCTAGCTGCATTGCAATGTACCCTGACTGACTGGGTCCCAGAAAAGCCACTCAAGGGAGAAATGAGTACCTGACCTTACACCCCTATGGGTAAGGAGTTTCCCTCCCCCTAACCACTTTCTTCCTGCCTGACATCCAAGTGAGCTTCCTTTCATCTAGTAACTGCACCGCTTCCTCTTTTGCCTTGGCCACCTGGAGGCTCAGGGCTCAGGTCAGCCCTCAGCTGTCCTGGTTTAGAAACAGCAGCTCTGCCCTTGGCTCAGGCTCTCTTCTCTCTCATTTTGATTGCAGCTACCCTATGACCATGCTGGGAGCCCTGTGCCCAGCTCACCTGGTGAAGCGACTGGGGTGGGTTATAAACCAAAGCTGACTGAGGTAAGGAACCACTGTGGTGAATATTTTATCAGCATGACCGCTGAAGCCTGGATTCCCATTCTGCTTCTGCTGCTCACTAGCTGTGTGAACATGGGTAAGTAGCTTAACCTCTCTCTCTGTGCTTCAGCTCCCAAATCTGAAAATGAGATTTTTTCCCCCTCTCTAATTTCCTGTGTGGTTTTAAGAAATGATCAAATGACAAACTATGTACATATAGCATAGCACCCGGCTCCTTCTTGTTTCTGCAAAGCCGAATGTTGGACCAATGTTCTCAGCTTCCAAGAGGGACCTGTGGCCACACAGGAAACCCTTGCCCCCACTCCAGGCTGCATGGCAGGGTGAGGGGTAGGCCCAGGGATCAGTTGGGCCCCAATGGGGTCTCTGAAGGGAGTCAGAGAGCCTGGGCCTCCCTGGTTTCTCCACTGGCAGGATAAAGGCCTGGGTATGACCCTGCCTCACGTGACCTGGCTGGAGAGTAGTGACAACAAGAATATAACAAGGCCAGCACTGAGTCTGTGTGGACCCAGCAACAGAGACATAGTGGAGTATGTCTTTAATACCAGCAGTCAGGAGGCAGAGGCAAGTGGATCTCTGAGTTCTGGGCCAGCCTGGTCTGCATAGTGAGACCCTGTCTCAAAAAAAACATGTATCCCCACCTGTCAACATGGAAGCTTCTAGATGGTGCCAGTACACACAGCAGGTGCCCAGACCTGAGCACTGGGGGGGGGGGCCTCAC